TTTTTCTTTTTTTTGATCACGCCTCAAGACATGTGAGATCCTAGTTCCCTGACCAGGGATCAAACTCTTGACTCTACCCCGGAAGACCAGAGTCAACCACTGCACCTCCAGGGAAGTCCTGTCATGGTATATTATTACTGAACAGTGCTAATCTGGAAGAACAGTACTAGTGTAATTTTCTTCCCTTGTAAGTAATTTTTTTTTAATCTGGATGCCTTTTTTCTCTAATACTTAAAAAAATACTGAACTGTACTAGTACTGATCATTCTGGGCCATACCTTATGGGGTTTTCCCCTTTGATATTTTATTTATTGTGGTTAAAAAAGGGAAACATTAAACTTACCACCTTAACCATTTTCAAGTGTTAACAGTTCATTAGTGTGAAGATCTCTAGAACGTCTTCTTGCAAAGCTGAAGCTATACCCATTAATCATGAATTCCCCCTCTTCCCTCCCACACACATCTTATGTTTTAAATACAATTTAGGGAGTGAGTGATAAATTAGGAGTTTAGGATTAAAATGCCTATACTACTATATGTGAAATAGATACCAACAAGGACCTACTCTATAGCATAAGCAGCTATACTCTATATACTCAGTATCTTGTAATAACTTGTAATGGAAAAGTATATCTATAACCGAATCACTTTGCTATACTCCTGAAACTAACACACCATTGTAAATCAACTAGATTTCAGTAAAAATTTTTCTTAAAAGTATATAATTTTTGAGTATGATGTCGCTTCTTTTTTCTAATTCTATTGAGATATAATTGACAACTTTCTGTAAGTTTAAGGGATATAACATGATTATTTGATCTATGTGTATCTTGCAAAACGATTACAAGATATTCTGTTTTACAATAAGGTGTAGATTTCTTTAATTGAATTTGTTTGTGGCTGCAGTGGGTCTTCATTGCTTTGCGAGGGCTGTTCTCTAGTTGTGGTGCGCTGACTTCTCTTGTTTCGAAGCACAGGCTCTGGGCACTTGACTTATTGTGACTCTTGGGCTTAGTTGTTCCTTGGCTTGTGGAATCTTCCCGGACCAGCGATCAAACCAACATCCTCTACATTGGCAGGTGGATTCTTAACCCCTGAACCAGGGATGTCCCAAGATGTATCTTCTTAAAGCCTGCAAAGAATTCCAGTTATGATTTGGTTAATAAATTATAGCCAACTATGGGACTTCCCTGGAGGTCCAGTGATTAGGATACTTTCTATGTGAGGACTGCAGGTTTGATCCCTGGTTGGGGAACTAAGATCCCACATGCTACATAGGGGGCCTACAAAGTAAAATAAAAACCATAGCCAACTAATAATGAAAAGCTTGCAGGCAATCTACTAGTCATGTATGTTGTTTCCTATTCACAAATAGGCAAAGAAATGTTTTAGTGTAGTTCTCTTTTCCATACCATTTCTGATCTTAGTGCGCAGTTCTCACGAAGAAGCAACAATGTGCAGACGGTGTCCACAAGGCACTTTTTTTTCAGAGCCTGTTGGTGCATTTGGTGTTCCCGTCTGTTGATGTGGCCTCACTGTCCAGGTCACTGCGCCCTGATCCCCACCTCCGGGCAGCCTGGGCAAACAGCATGCCTTACCCAGGCTGCAGATGGCAAGTTCGCTCTCTCCGCAATCTAATTTCAAAGAGAGGAAAAAAGCAAAATGTGGGTTGTGTTCAGTTTTTCTTTTATCTCATGAGTCGTTCATATTTACTGTGCCAAGGGAGATGAGTGTGGCCTTGGCACTGCTCTCGAAATGAAAAAAATCTCCTTTTCAAGGTGGATTATTGACCTTACTTTTAGGTCTTTGTATATGTGTGCTCTTGATTTTTAATGCCAAGCGAGGCTGGATTTCCCTGGGACTCCAGTGGTTATGACTCTGAGTTTCCAATGCAGAGGATGTGGGTTCAGTCCCTGGTTGGGGAACTGAGATCCCACATGCTGTGCAGTGCAGCCAAAAATAATTTTTTTTTCTTTTAAATAGTCATAAAAGAAAATAGAGACTTCCCTGGTGGTCCAGTGGCCTAGACAGCAAGCTTCTATTCCAGGGGGCCCAAGTATGATCCCTGACCAGGAAACTAGATCCCATATTCGACAACTAAGAGTTCACATGCCTCAACCAAGACCCTGTGCAGCTGAATAGATTTATTTAAAAATAAAAAATTAAGTTAAAAGTTAAAAAATAAAATAAAATGCCAGACAAGGTTACAGTTAGCTCTACACACTGCTTTCTGGGTAATTTCATTTATTATCGTGGCTGTCCCCAAAAGGGCATTTCCAGTAGAACCCTGCCATCTTTAATGCTTTAACCCCGAAGCCTTTAACCCTGAAGCCATTAGTGCTCTTCTCTTGCTAGGATCAATCTCTACCATGTGTAAGCTGATTCCGTTGATTTCATTGTCCCCACGTCCCTCACCTGATGGCTCCAGGTCCTGGAAACTCAGCGTGTCCCAGATTGAACTCAGCCTGTGCCACTCCAGACACCGAACCTGCTTCTACCCATTCTTTATTCATGATCTGGGCAAGCCACCCATTAATGTAAACATCTTTCCTAATTTCACCTAATGTATAGTAAATGTATATTGTCTAATGTGTAGAAAATATATTTTCCTAATGTCTGACAGTAAATGACAAATTCTTTGAGATGGCTGCTTCTGTTTGTGACAGCTAGGCACCTCCTTCTGTATAAATTATGCACGTGGAAAATAGGGCTAGCAAGTGCTAGACATAAATAATTTATAACGAAGCTCCTAAATGATGAATTGCACCGTGTATCTCTGCGGATGGCTGGCCCTGTGTGTTTCCATGTTGATGGGTAACTGTCAAGGGTTCCTCCTAGATTGCTTTGATTTTGGCTGCTTTTACCCTCAAGGGGCTTTCCAGGAGGCTCAGTGGTAAAAGAATCCACCTGCTAATGCAGAAGACACGGGTTCAATCCCTGGGTCAGGAAGATCCCCTGGAGAAGGAAATAGCAACCCACTCCAGTATTCTTGCCTGAAAAATCTAATGGACAGAGAGCCTGGCAGGCTACGGTCCCCCGGGTCCCAAAGAGTCAGACACGACTTAGGAATTAAAATAACAACAACGACTCTCAAATAATGTTTTCCTGCTTGCTGGTTAATTAAAGAATTGCCTCACTTTGTGGCAAGGGATTTTATCCATGTTGTTTTGTTTAATGTGTTTCTAGACCAAAGCAACTCCATGTGTAGAAAATCCAAAAAAATGAATGTTTGATTCCATTTTCCTGTTAGGACTTTCTGCCTTTGTTGCTGTGGCTTCTTCACAGGCTAAAAGTGCTGAATCTCATTTTTTTAGAGTTTTTCTGTAAACTTAAAAAATTGAAACATTTATCCTAGCCATATAACACATAAAGAAGACTTTTGCTGATTCATAAGTTCTTTGTATTAATCCAAGAAGTGGGGTATATGAGAGCATTGATAGAATATGTTATGGCTGAGTCACTCACTTTTGAACAGTTTACCTTTATGGGAGAATTAGGTTATAGAAATGTGAGCTAAGAAGCATTTGGGTGGTTGTTGTTGTTACTGTTGTGTTTTTATTGACATATAGTTGATTTACACTGTGTTAATTTCTGCTGTACAGTTAAATGATTCTGTTTGTATATGTACATTCTTTTCTGTACTCTTTTCCATTGTGGTTTATCACAGAATATTGAGCACAGCTCCCTGTGCTATGCGGTAGGACCTGTTGTTGATCACTCTGTGAGAAGCATGCATTTAATCAGATCTGGAAAGTGTTCTCAGATGGAATGGGCAGTGTTTCCTAAGCCTCGGTTACTTATTGCCATCGTGTCCTAGCTTGGTTCCTCCAGCTGTCTGGATAAGGCAGTTGGAGATCCTGACCCTGGCTGCAGATTGCCTCTGGTTAGTGTAGAGTTGAAAATATTCCTGCCTCCTGGCTGGTCAAGGTGGGTAACCTTGGCCAGCCCTGTAACCTTGGCCATGAAGACTGCTAATGAATTTGGGACTAGGGTGTATATGCATGTCTGTGTCTTTCAAAATCACTAAACTTGTCCAGTTAAGCAATATAATCCGTGTGGTATGTGAGTGCCCAGTTGCTTAGTTGTGTCTGACTCTGAGACCCAGTGGACTCCAGCCCGCCAGGCTCCTCTGTCCATGGAATTTTCCAGGCAAGAATCTGTGTAGTAGTTGATTGGTAAAGCCTGGGGCAGTATTACTTAATTTGTATTTTCCTATTAAACCATCATTTAAGCAAATATGGAACACAAGGAGCCTTCGTTGTGGAGGGTGTTGGAGGTATACATGGAATTGGCAGGGAAATGCTGAGACTACTGTGTTTGGGTATGAGCTGGTGTATGAAAAATCTAGGCAAAGGAACATATGTGTGTGTGTGCATGCTGATACCTGCAGTTAAGATTCATGAGTACATGCAGAGTAAGGAATAACCACTTCAAGTGTGAGGGGAAAAATTCAGGAACAAAATACACACATATATATATATATATTCATTAATGTGCATTGTGGGGCCTTCTGGTCTTTTGCTTCTTGGTGTGATAGGCAGATCATGGTAAAGATTCAATTAAGAATGTCAAAAGGGACTTCCCCGGTGATCCAGTGGTTAAGAATTCGACTGCCAATGTGGGGGACGGAGGGATTTGATCCCTGGTCTGGGTAGATCCCACATGCCACAGGGCAACTAAGCCCGTGTGCTGCGACCACTGAGCCACCACGCCACCACAAGAGAAGTCCTCAGTCACTGCAACTAGAGAAACCCCACGTGAAGTATAGCCCAAAAAAAAGAATGTCAAAAGGAACACAGTGATCTATTTTATATTTGATATCTTGGGTTCTCACTGCTAGGATTTTGCATATTTTGTGCCTTTATCCCCAGTCAAGAGAAGAAAATTTTCCTAGGGTTAGAAATGGCTCTAATTGTTGAAGGGTTAACATTTTTTTTTTCCCCCTGAATCGGCTTGTTCACTTGGCTTAGTTTGACTGGTTTCTGTCTCTCGCCCTCTAGGAAGCTATTTTGCCAGCCACTTCATTATGGGAGGAGAGAAGTTTGATTCAACTCACCCCGAAGGCTACTTGTTCGGAGAAAACAGCGATCTGAACTTTCTGGGGAACAGACCAGTGGCGGTATAGTTATTATCTGTTTACTTTCACTCGGGGCTAAGTGGCCAAGTCAAATGGTCTTGCCAAAATAAGTTTGTAATTGCTGGTTCAGCAGTGTCTGCGGCTTGGTCTGAGTTGAGAGGAGCCAGACTGCAGCCTCTTTGGTGGAGCAGGGTCTCCTGGCACCAGAGGCTGCCCCGTGGAAAAGTACCCGGTCTGCCTGAGGGTGAGGACAGCTCACAAAACCCAGCTCTCCTTGGATCTGCCCCTCTGAAGCTTTGCCTAAACGCCACCTCTGCAGACTTCCCTTGCCCAGTCCCTAGCTTGTCCGCACCTTGCTTTTCATTCCTCTTCATAGCAACTAATACCACGGTGTTGTTTTTCAGTCGATAAATCATGTCTAACTCTTTGCAGCTCCATGGACTGCAGCATGCCAGGCTTCCCTGTCCTTCACTGTCTTCTAGAGTTTGCTCAGATTTCTTGTTTATTGAGTCAGTGATGCTATCTAACCATCTCATCCTCTGCTACCCCCTTCTCCTCCTGCCTTCTTTCTTTCCCAGCATCAGGGGTCTTTTTCAATGAGTCAGCTCTTTGCATCAGGTGGCCAAAATATTGGAGCTTCAGCATCAGTCCTTCCAGTGAATATTTAGGGTTGATTTCCTTTAGGATTGACTGGTTTGATCTCCTTACAGTCCAAGGGACTCTCAAGAGTCTTCTCTAGCACCACAATTCGAAAACACCAATTCTCCCTAATACCAAATAAGCTTCTGTTGCCTTGTCACTTCTATTATCTGCCTTTTGCATCAGAATGTACATTTCCCAGGGCAAGGGGGCTGTGCCACTGTCGAAACCCAGCACCCAGAACAAAGCCTGGGACATTGTGCTAAGCCTTTCATAAAGATCTGTTGAATGAATGACTGACAAATTTCCCCTCGATATCTGAGTTGATATCAGACTGTCTCTCTCTCCATTCATTCAACTCATTCCATAAAAGTTCATGGGGCATTTTCTCTGCACCCAGCATGAAGCTTTGCAAAAATAGCTGCCATGTGGCTACTGAGTGGCCATTTTGTGCTAAGGAAGGCCCTAGAGACTTTTCAGACATTATTTCTTATCTTCATAAAGACCCACTTTAGGACTTCCCTGGTGATCCAGTGGTTAAGATTCCACACTTCCAATGCAGGGGCCAGGGTTCAATCCCTAATCTGGGTACTAAGATCCCACGTGACATGTAGCAAGGCCAAAAAATAAATAAATAAAAAATAAAAACAAAACTATATTTTAAAAAAACCCTACCTGTCAGAGAATTTATTATCAATATTATTTTGTAAGCAAGAGAACTTGAGGTTCCAAAAGCTAAACAGTGGTAATAGCCTTCGTTGTTTACTCAGTAAGTCGTGTCCAATTCTTTTGTGACCCCATGGACTGTTGCCCGCCAGGTTCCTCTGTCCATGGGATTTTCCAGGCCAGAATACTGGAGTGGGTTTCCATTTCCTTGTCCAGAGGATCTTCCTAACCCAGGGACTGAACCCACTTCTCCTGCAGTGCAGGTGAATTCTTTACCGCTGAGCCACCAGGGAAGCCCAGTAGCCTTTATGAAGTGCGCACTGCGTTCCAGGCCCTGTTCAAAATGCTTTCAGAAAATTTTTCCCAAAGCCACATAACTAGATCTGCCTAGCCACCGATCAATAACCTTTCCACTGCTTCTCTTTGCTCCAAAATATCCTGCCGTTCTCTAGAAACTCCTATTTTAGTGGGGCAGGCCAAACACAGGAACAAGAGATATTTCAATAGCAATCAAGGTCTGAAACGGCTGGGATTCCGTAGGTATAGAGAGTGGGGGAGGGGAATCGCAAGGGCTGATGCCGGTTTTGAGAAGCAGGCCTTGGAGGATGGCTGGGTTTTCGTGAGGTGGGTGGGCATGGGGCTTCCCGGGAGGGAGGCACAGAGCCCAGGCGTGAAAGCATTCACGTTTCTGTCGAATCAGCAACCATTTACTGAGAAACTACTGTGTGCCAAGTACTGTGGTCGGCGCTGGGGATACAAAGCTGAAATGAGAATGGTTTGTTCCTCCCCTGGAACAAATAAGGAAGCCTGTCTGGCAGGAGTGGACCTTTCCTGGTGGAGAAGCAAGATTGGAAAAGTAGGTGGGGGCTCCGTTCCCTCAAGACATGTTCCACTCTCTCCCATAGGCTCTGGGGAAATACGTTTTTTAGGCAGATGAGCACCCCAGAGAAATCATTTATTTTTTGGTCTTTAGGAAGGTTAATCTGATGACGATTTTCCATCTGGAGCTTTAATTAAAAAGCATTTTGGTTGTTGTTGATGGTTTTTATTGTTTTCTTCCTTTCTATCTGGGCTTTGCTGATGGCTCAGAAGATAAAGAATCTGTCTGCGATGCAGAAGACCCCAGTTCGATCTCCTGGAGACGGGAATGGCAACCCAGTCCAGTATTCTTGCCTGGAAGATTCCATGGATGTAAAAGCCTGGGGAGAGGGGTGGGCTATAGTACATGGGGTCACAAAGAGTCAGAAACAACTGAGCAACTAACAGCACCTTTCTTTCTGGAGTGATAATACCCCGACCACACCCCGGTGCTGTGTGCTCAGTCATGTCCAACTCTTCGCGATTCCATGAACTGTAGCCACCCCTCACCCCCCCAGGAATTTTCCAGGCAAGTATACTGGGAGTGGGAAGCCATTTCCTTCTCCAGGGGATCTTCCCTACTCAGGGATCAAACCTGCATCTCCTGCATTAGTAGATGGATTCTTCACTGTGCCACCTCGGAAACCAATTCTTAGTTGAACAGTACTTTCAAAATACCAAGTACTTTCTGCTTCACAGTCAATTATGACAACTCATGCTTATCAAATGTCTACTGTCTGATTTTTCTACTATTACCTTAGCCTTTAGAGTGGAATGATCTTTTTTTCTGCTTGAGTCAGATAAGAACTCCCTTACTTCCTGGGAGTGGGCTCATGCTTGAAAAATACCCTTTCTTCTCACAGGGACTTGGCCATTTGCATCTACTTCTTCCTCCCTTTTCTCTTTCCTCTGGTGTCAGAATAGTTTATATACTTTTTTAAAGTGTAGGTTTAAAAAAAAAACTTTCAGGCCATAAAGGTGAGTTTAAAACAAGGGAACACTTCTTTAGGCTCATTTTGAGGTTGATGCTGGTCGACAAACCTCCCCAAAGTATAACCGTCTTGTTTATACTTCTGTGAGCCCGTGAGTGACCGAGCTCTTCCAGGAGCCCCGGAGAGCAGCGTTGACCTTCACTTGCAGGCTTTCTCCCAAGGAAGCATCAACATTGGCCTTTTTGTTGTTGTTTTTGTGGACTAATCATTAAACATGCTTCATGTTGCACAGAGCAAATGTTTTCAAAGGACATCATCGTTTCACGTCAAGAAAGCAAATCGGAGTAACTTGAAAGAGGGAGGTGGAAGTAGAGTATGCAACACGTTTCCCTTTGCTTTTTCCCTTTCTTGGCTAACATTTAGTGAACCCTTACCATTTTCCAGGCCCGGTTGTTCCAAGTTCTCTGTATGTGTTAACTCTTTGTGTCCTTGTTAATGCAAGTTCAAGGGCGATGCACAGTGGGGCCAAACTGAAACATCAGAGTTTGGAGCAGAGAAAGGTTTATAGCAGGACCGTGCAAGGAGATGGGTGGCTCATGCTGTAAAAATCTTCAACTCTCCAAAGAGTTTTGGCACAGCGCTTTGAATTGCAGGGGAGGCAGGGTGGGCGGTGTTGCGAGGTGCGTGATCGCCTTGTGCAGTTCTCTGACTGGCTGATAAGGAGGGAGCAGGGGGTGTCCCAGGGCTTCACTTTAACAGTCCTCAGGCTCCAGGAGGCCTGGGGCTGTGTGCTCCTGGTCGTCAAGTAGTTTTCCATTTGGTGGGAGTTTTTTCAGATCTGCAAAACAACTCAGGAAATTTGCATCAAACACTATTATCTAGCTGCTTCAGAGAGGAGCTGAAGCAGAGGATATGGGGGAGGCCTGTCCAGGGAAGGCCCCATAGGGTCCTGCTGGGTTACGGCCTCACACCCTAATGAGGAAGGTCCTGATTGCAAAGCCTGGAGGTGACTGACTCAGGATTTGAAGCCAGCAGTCCAGCTCCAGAGCCTGGGGTCCCCTGCCCTGTCCTGCTGGTCAGGCTGGGAGTACTCCGGACCCCTGCCCACATCCTGTCTGTGAGTCTGAGTAGATCCTTGAGGGCAGTTTGTGAAATGTGGGGAGAGTAGCCAGCGTGGCCGTGACACGTTTTCTCAAGTATCTCTTGAGAGAGTTTGTATTTGGTGTGTAATTCCACCGGCCGACCTGACCTTGGCCGCCTGCTGTTACCGCACGTCAGCTTGTTTAGGGGAAGGCCCAGAGACTGAAGGCTGACTGGTCACTGGAGTTCTCCAGAGCTGACCTCTGCGCTCTACTAACATATCCCAGTGTCGGTAGATGGGCGTCGGGTTGCAGAGGAAAGAGAACAGCCTTATAAAGCCATCCCGGAGCCCCGGGCAGGAATGGCTCCTCTTTCCAAAGAGATGGGGACATAATATGTTGAAATACATGGTTAGATTAGATTATAAAGGCCATAGACTTCCTGGCTTCTGGGACTTGTTGTATTTCCTGTCATCTTCTGAATGATCAGACTCAGATGAGTACCATTTAGCAATGGCTCGGCCTGTAGTTTTTACTGAAGCTCATCTCCCGCTTAGGATAATCCATTCGTCAAAGTCAGATGTATTATCAAGTCTTCAGGTCAGATTTAAAGAACCAGAGTGTGTGTGTATATGGAAGGACGGTTGAAGAGAGGTCAGAATCAAGATTGCAAATTTTACATACATCTTACTGTTGCAACCCTGGCAATGAAGATTGCAACCCAGACTCTTTGCATCCCTGGCAAGCATCACTCAGGCTCTCAAATTACCCACTTGTAACGGGGAGACTGTTCTGACTTTGTAGGAATGTCATGCTTGAAAAATGCGTTGGAATTGCTGGAGGAAGAGATGTGTGCAACAATGTTAGC